GTACGGGCACGGTGGCTCACACCTGTAATCCCAGCACTTTGGGAGGCTGAGGCAGGCAGATCACGTGAGGTCAGGAGTTTGAGACCAGCCTGGCCTGCATGGTGAAACCCCGCCTTTATTAAAAATACAAAACATTAGCTGGGTGTGGTGGTGTGTGCCTGTAGTCCCAGCTCCTCCGGAGGCTGAGGCAGGAGAATTGCTCGAACCCAGCAGGTGGAGGTTGCAGTGAGCCAAGATCGCGCCACTGTACTCCAGCTTGGCCAACAGAGCAAGACTCCCTCTCAAAATAAAATGAAATGCACTAAAATTGTTTTACAAAAAAGAATCGAATAGGAAAAGATGCTTAACATCATTAGTCGCTAGGGAGACGCAAATCAAAATCACAATGAGATAACCACTACACATCTATTAGAATGGCTAAAAAAAAACAACAACATAAAATGTGAGCAAGGATGCAGAGCAACAGGAATTTTCATGCATTGCTGGCAGGACTGCAAAATGGTACAGCTTTTGGAAAACATTTCGCCAGTTTCAATTTTTTTTTTTTTAAAGAGTCTCGTTCTGTCAGCCAGGCTGGAGTGCAGTGATGCGATCTCAGCTCGCTGCAACCTCTGCCTCTTGGGTTCAAGTGATTCTCCTACCTCAGCCTCCCAAGTAGCTGGAATTACAGGCGTGTGCCACACACTAAGCTAATTGTTGTATTTTCAGTAGAGACAAGGTTTCGCCATGTTGCCCAGGCTGGTCTCGAACTCCTGACCTCAGGTGATTCACCTGCCTCAGCCTCCCAAAGTGCTGGGATTACAGTGGGGAGTCACCACGCCCAGCTGACAGTTTCTTACAAAGTTAAACATACACTTACCATATGATCCAGCAATCCTATTCCTGGGTATTTACTCAAGTAAAATAAAAAACTATCTTCACACAAAAACCTGTGCACAAATGTTTATAGCACCTTTATTCATTAGCAGAAAAAACCCAACTGGAAAATGGATAAACAAACAGTAGTACATCCACATGATGGAATACTACTCAGCAATAAAAAGGGATGAGCCGCTGGTAAACACAACAGAGATCTCAAATGCATTCTGCTAAGAGAAAGAAGCCAGACTCAAAGGCTAAATATTGTATGACTCCACTTATAGCATTCTGGAAAAGGCAAAACTATAGTGATGGAGAATAGATTCGTGGTTACCAGAGGTTAAGGATTCACAGAGGCTTTGACTCCAAAGCGGTCACGGCCCCAGATAATTTTGGGAGAGACTGAGGAAGAAACTGTTCTGTGCCTTTATTGTACTGACAATAACGTGATTCTGTTTGTCAAAATTCTTAGAATTGTATGTAAAAAGAGTATATTTTACTGTATGTGCTTTTAAAAATAAATTTAATTTTTTTCTCTAAAAAAAAAAAACCCAAAAGTAGGTACTTAAATTCCAACTGAAGCTGAAACGAAGGTGACTTTTGCCCACACCCACTGTGGGTTTCAAAGCCTAGTCCTGCTTTTTGCCCCACACTGTTTTCCTCCCCACTCCCCAGCACTAGAACAAACTTGTCTGTCTTTCCAGGCTGAGGGACTGTGGCTTGGCAGCTGATCCTGGCACACTGAGTTATTAGTCTCAGATGCTTTTCTTTCCACGTCAAAGTGCCTCTGTGCAACTAACACTTGTGCTCTCCTCGCCCCACTCGCAGGGGTCTAGTGGGGATGAGCGGGCAATGGCTAAGGAGCTGGCCAGCCTTCTCTGTGATGGCAGCGAGAACACTGTGGCCGAGGGCCAGGAGTCCGCCGAGTTCTGGGACCTACTGGGAGGGAAAACTCCCTATGCCAGTGATAAAAGGTATGGGAACACAGCCTCCTCCTCTTCTGGGCTCCCCCTGCCTGCCAGGCTTATGAATTGCACAAAGGCTAAAACCTCAGTTTTAAAAACATTTCTAAGCAGCTTGGTGCCCTTAAATGGACTGTATTGCAGACTTCAGCAGGAAATTCTAGATGTCCAGTCCCGTCTCTTTGAATGTTCCAATAAGACTGGCCAATTCATTGTTACTGAGATCACAGACTTCACCCAGGATGACCTGAACCCCGGTGACGTGATGCTCCTAGATACCTGGGACCAGGTAAGACACAGCTGCAGAACTCAGAACATGACAAAGACTCCCATAGTAAGGGTTGTTTTTGTGTAGTATCCCCACCCTAGATAAACCCAGGGTAGCCCTGGACCATCCCCAGCTCAATCAAACCTCTGTCAGCAGTGACCAAAAGAAAGCCTCCGTTTTTTTGCAAGGGGTGATGTTTGAGAATGATGTTTGAAACTCACCATCCCGGGCATTTTCCCACCTTGCTTTGGAAAAATCAAGTCATCCTATCATCATGCACTTTTTAATCTTAGGATCAATAGCAACAGACTCCACATGCAGAGGATATGGGCGTTTGGGGGAACAACAGCAGTCAGTAGCCTATTGTCATAGTCAAGTAAGAGCTACTGTGGGTCCACATAAGGGCAGTGGAGTAGGGATGGAGGGATGGTGACAGATTTGACAGATGCTTAGGAGGTAAAGTTGGTCAGCCTGGTGACTCATTGGATATGGGGGGTTTCTAGGAAACTCCCAGGTTTCTGCCTTAGGTGACTAGATGGATACCACCTATCAGAAGTGGAGACTCAGATACAAGTTTAGTAAAGAAGAGCTACATCTTGAGGGTGTTATTTTTAAGGTGCTTAGAGCAGTCAAGAGGAGGTGTTCTGCAAGAAGTTGGATTCAGGAAGCTGAAGTTCAGAGACAGCTCCGATTTGGAAAGGCAGATCTGGAAGATACACATAGCAATTAAAGTGATAAACATCAAGCTGATTCTGGGAAATCCTTTCTCTGCTGAACAAATTAGGCTGAGAAAGTTTTCTGAGGCTGTGAATTGCTCACGAAAGAAAGGGGAAAGATAGGGTAGTGTGTATGATCTAGTACTTAGTATGAACACAGTAACATATATTAAATCTCCACCATAACAGGTGTTCTTGTGGATTGGGGCTGAGGCCAATGCCATGGAGAAGAAGAGTGCCCTTGCCACAGCGCAGCAGTACCTGCTCACTCACCCCAGTGGCCGAGATCCCGACACACCAATCCTGATCATTAAGCAGGGGTTTGAGCCTCCCATCTTCACAGGCTGGTTCCTAGCCTGGGACCCTAACATTTGGAGTGTAAGAAAAGAGAGTGGGGAAGCTCTTACTTCCTGCCAGGAACAGCTCACTGAGCTCAGAACAGCTCAGTGGGCAGGAAGGTGGAGTACTGCTTCACGGCTCAGTGAAATCAGGACTTCATTTCCCTACTCCTGTCCTGCTCCCTGCCTTTTTCTTTTCTCCTCTTTTTCACCTGCCACAGCAGGAAGTCCAGGTAGACAATTCACAGCAGGTCTCAGCAATAAGCAGTGTGAAGTATAAACAGTTTATAAAGTGTATCCATACACATCATCTTTTTGATCTGTACAATGATCCTGATAGCCAGTAGAAGTACTGTTCCCTATTTTATTGATAAGGAAGCTAAGAGAATGAGTTATTTGTCCAAAGTCACAGTTAATCAACAGAAAGCCAGGTTTCCTGACTCCTAATCAACTTTTTTTTTTTCCCAAGACAGAATTTTGCTCTTGTCGCCCAGGCTGGAGTGTAATGGCACAATCTCGACTCGCTGCAACCTCCACCTCCTGGGTTCAAGCGATTCTCCTGCCTCAACCTCCCAAGTAGCTGGGATTATAGGCATGCATCACCACGCCCAGCTAACTTTTGTATTTTTAGTAGAGATGGGGTTTCACTGTGTTAGTCAGGCTGGTCTTGAACCCCTGACCTCAGGTGATCCACCTGCCTCGGCCTCCCAAAGGGCTGGGATTACAGGCATGAGCCACTGCGCCTGGCCTTCAACTGCTCTTTCTTAAATCTTATAGGGAGGACTGAGGGGTTACCATCAAAGAATGTGCATTATGTTTAAGCACCTTTCAAGCCTTCATGGACCCAAAAGGGGGGATTTTCATTTTTACTTATACTTGAAATGTCTTCTGACTCCCTGGCTCTTTTGCTTTTCCTGAAGACATAGACCAGACCTAAGATGTCCCTCCCCTATAAGAAAGACCTCATCTTGTGTTTTCTCTCCTTCTCAGGCAGGAAAATCATACGAACAATTAAAAGAAGAGCTGGGAGATGCTGCTGCTATCATGCAAATCACTGCTGTGAGTCAGGTTCACTCTTGGGAGAAGCCAGCCACACAGGCAACCAGAGCCAAAGAGAACCCACAAACGCTACAGATGCTCATGGGCAAAACTCATGTCCTCCTTAGTATTACTAAGGAGTATTACTATAGTTGTCTGTTTTGATGTAAAAATTTTTTGTAATCAATAGAAAAGCAGGTCTGAGAGCCAAGTTCCTTATTTTCCTGACTTCCAGATTTTCAAACAGACTTGCTGCTTAAAAACAAAAATGGGGCTGGGTGCAGTGGTTCATGCCTGTAATCCCAGCCCTTTGGAAGGCCAAGGCGGGTGGATCACCTAAGGTCAAGAGTTTGAGACCAGCCTGACTAATATGGTGAAACCCCATCTCTACTAAAAATATGAAAATCAGCTGGGCGTGGTGATGGGCGCCTGTAGTCCCAGCTACTCGGGAGGCTGAGACAGGTGAATTGCTTGAACCTAGGAGGCAGAGGTTGCTGTCGGCTGAGATGGCACCACTGCACTCCAGCCTGGACAACAGAGGGAGACTCCATCTCAAAAAAACAACAACAAAAAAATGAAAACTTGTTTTATTATTCAACTCTGCCATTTAGGAGAGATTAAAGTCATTGGCAGTATTTTTCAGAAATAAGCTTCTAACCCAAATGACATTTTTATTCGTTTCTGACAGTGAAGTCCACAGAAACTTAGACCATTTACCCCTATTTTAATGGTTAAAAGAAGTAGAGCCTCTGGCCAGGAATCCAGCAGTTCTTTAACCTCAGGAGGAGTGCATGGCACCAGGAGTTCAAACCTGCAATTCTGTCCTTTGTGCTCCACAAACTCAGATTTTAAAGCTAATGTTGATATAGTATCTTTAAATTATATTTAAGTAGAACTACAACCTGAAGTCATTTAAAGGCTGGAAATGCAGGGCTAAATAAAAGTACCAAGAGAAGGTATGTGATCCCAATATTCAAATGAGATTCTGGCACAACATGTATGCCAAACTGGCTATACAGGACTTGCCTTGAACTTACTGAATCACTTTTCCCAAAAACAACCCCAAAATCTGAATATTTTCTATTCCCAGATGATTCTGACATGCAGCCAGGTTTGGGGACCATTCCTCTGAAAGATGATTATAGAGGGTGAAGTGGCACAAGTCAAAATGTTAAATATTACACACATTTAGAACTGTAACCATACAGACACTGAGGAGTCTTTTCCCTGTGCCTACATTCTTATCTTATCTTACCTAGGACATGAAGAATGCAACCCTCTCCGTGAATTCTACTGACAGTGAGTCAAAATATTACCCTATAGCAGTTCTGTTGAAAAACCAGAATCAGGAGCTACCTGAGGATGTAAACCCTGCCAAAAAGGAGGTGAGTGACTGAAGAAACTGTCTGTTGGAAGTGGAGCTCTCCATGAGTAAATGGCCTAGGACAGTTCTGGCACGGCACGCTGTAGCTGCTCAATGGACATCTGAGCTACTCAGGAGCTCAAACCAAAAGAAACAGGGTTCTTTCTTGATTCTTTTCTCTTCACCTACATCAATCTATCAGCTAGCTTCTGTCCACTGCTCTCCATCTCTCTGCTACTAGTCTAGTGCAGCCATCTTGGACTACATACTACAATCCAACTGGTTTCCACCTGTTCCTACAATCCGTTCCCCACGCAATAGCCAAAGGGATCTTTAAAACATATGGCACTGCCCTGTTTAAAACACCTCGAATAGCTTCCCACTACATTTTAAAAAAGAATGTGAAGGCCGATACAATCTGGCCCCTGCCTAGCTCTCTGATTTCATTTCATATACCAATACCCTCATCATTCACCACCCTACAGCCAGTACAGCCGCTGCTTTGCTGTTCCTTAAACATGCTTATTCCAGCCTTTGAGCCTTTACACTTGCTGGTGCTCGTGCCTGAGAAAACATCCCTCTCCCAAATAACCACAGTGCCAGCACCTTCTCATGGTGTAGGTCTCAGCCCCAGTGTCACCTCCCCGAGGAGGCATTTCCTGACCACCTTAATACTGCTTCCCATACCTGCTCCAGTCCCTTTATACTTGTTCATTGCCTATTTCCCCCTCTAGTAATATCCTTAAAAGGAAGGACCTTTGTCTGTCTTGTTCACCATCATATTCTCAGCTTCTCAGCACCTACAACAGTGCCTAGCAGATAGCAAGCATTCTTAAGTTTCGCTTGAATGAATTAACATATTTGAGTTAAAAGAATAAATTTCTTGGCCAGGCGCAGTGGCTCACACCTGTAATCCCAGCACTTTGGGAGGCTGAGGCGGGTGGATCACAAGGTCAGGAGTTCAAGACCAGCCTGGCCAATATGGTGAAACCCCGTCTCTACTAAAAATACAAAAATTAGCAGGTGGCGGGTGCCTGTAGTCCCAGCTACTTGGAGGCTGAGGCAGGAGAACTGCTTGAACCCGGGAGGCAGAAGTTGCAGTGAGCCGAGATCGTTCCACTGCACTTCAGCCTGGGCGACAAAGCAAGACTCTGTCTCAAAAAAAAAAAAAAAAAGAATAAATTTATTTTCCCCTTGAAGAAGTTGATTTGGGAATGGACTCTGGACTCTGGATTTCCCACAGCGTCTTATCTAACCAACTCAAGTATGTGGACTACAATTTTCTTGAAAGCAGAGCCCATATATTAATAATCTTTACTTAATTAATAATCTTTACTTGTATATAAATATTCAATAAATCATTAAGTAAATGTTTAGAATAATTTTATGCTCAATAAGATCATGCATTTGAAAATTTCTGGGTAAAAATGGTAGTTACAGACGGAAAACAAGGAAAACCATGGCTCAATTTAGTTCTTCATTCTGCCAAAACTTGATGTCTGTAATTCATCCTTAATACATAACCCATTTATTGCCTTCTGGCAAGAAACTGGTGCTTGCTGGCACTGTGAGAGCAGTGAATCCAGTAAGCTTCTGTCACAGGCCAAAATGGGACTCCCTGAACTGAAGAACACCTCTCCAATGAATAATTTAAATCTCTAACAGCCTTTCTGAGAAAGTCATCCTACTTCCCTCTTCAAGGATCCACCTAGAACTCCCTCTCGCTCTGACTTTCCCAACTTCTGTTGGCACTGATGTCATGTCTTCCTTCTAACTAGAAACTTTGTTTTCTCTCTTAGAATTACCTCTCTGAACAGGACTTTGTGTCTGTGTTTGGCATCACAAGAGGGCAATTTGCAGCTCTGCCTGGCTGGAAACAGCTGCAAATGAAGAAAGAAAAGGGGCTTTTCTAAAGCAAGAAGGCCTATATCTACTGCAAGGCCACAGAAGAGAGCAGATAGTGCCAATATCAGGAAATAATTTATCCACCAATTTCTGCCTGACATTCAGCTACTTAATTTAGATATAATAGAGTCTGAAAACACTGTTCTCCATTTTTTCTCATCCTTGCATTCCTTCCTTGTTATATACCTAAAATGTTAACCACATGGTTTTTGGATTTTGTGGCCCTCTAGCTAAAGCCTCAGCAGAAAGCACTAAAACTGCATAAATCTGGAGAAATCAAAAGAAAGAGAACCAAAAAACAATGCTCAAAATGTTTAATAACTTTGTTTAGCATTATGCCAGGACCTACCTTTGTTTTCAATTTTAAGATCATTATTTCTAAAATCTATTTAACCTGTAAATCATTTCAAAGCATTTTTAACTTTTCAAATAAAGATACCTCTAATGAACAAATGCGGTTATTTTCAGTATTCTGGGTTTGCTTGTTATGGTAATTTTATGTTATATTGGAAGAAATGTTTCAGTACTGGGGAAGTAAAGAGGCAATGTTAAGTGACCTCTCTGGATAACCGGACTACTCTAATTTCTGTTTCTGGCACAAGAATGTCAAAATCTGCCTTACAGCTGGCCAGGAAACCTCAGTACTCACCCACCCACACATTATCCAAAAGAGAAACAGAGGCATGTGTTATTAATTTAATTAAATGAAGCCAGAACCAGTGTGCCTACCACTGCAGAGCACCTTCAAAGCATGCTACAGACAATCACAAAGAAGAGAACCCACAGCTTCCAGACAACTCTAGGTTTGAATCAGTAATCCCAAAGAATTCCATGTGGCAGAAGTAATATAACTAGGGAGGTTCCGAGGCAGAAGCATGGTCCACAGTACCGCAAAGCAAAAACAGAAAAGAATTCTATGTCATAAAAGGTGGAAGACAGAACATGTAAGTTAGAAATTTCAGAAACACCATAATAAATCTATGTTGAAGGGAGCAGCAGTATTGTTGATGCCTGTTCTCCAAGACACTGTCAATCACGTCAATAAGGCCCGCCCGTTAATTTTGAAAGGCACAGAAAAGCTAAACCCAGTATTATGCAAACAAGGAAAAAATTATTTTTATTATATAACTATTTAATAATTTTACCCATGAAGTCTATAATCTCGTTATAACGCAAATGAAAAATACATTCTCAGTCTGAAGAGGCTTGGGAAATACTCCTTTTTGTAATGATGTCCAGAGCTAAAAATAAATATTCCTCCTGGGCCGAAAGTCTCTAGAACCTATTCAGTTTCTGCTGCCTCTTCACCTTCTCCACATTCAAACCGCACAAAGTCTACTACCGACACCCCCTGAGGCTGCACATACTGCCCCAAGGTAATGGAGGGATCCAGCAAGTATGGCTGGGACAACATCTTAGTCTCTGCCTCCCCCCCAGGCTCATCATCCAGGGAGCCAACAGAGAGGGGGGCCATGCCCACCACATGCTGCCCAAGGCGGCGGCCAATGTCTTCAAGGTTTGTTTTCTGTTCAGACGTCTCACAGATGACCAGGGCCCCATACTTCCCCAGCACCAGGTTGTGAAGTGAGGGACTCTGCATTGCTCCGTGGACATAAGAGCCAACGTAGAACCCAGATGGCACCTTCACCCATGCAGCTCGTTTAAGAGTCATGTTTTCTCCCAGTTTTCCTATTAAAAAAAGCAAAAACAAAAAACCAAATACACCAACAAATTGTGATGTCTGTGATGGTACCAAAATAAGAACAGAAGAGGCCCAGTTTGGAAGACAGTCCCTTTGCATTTACACAGGATATGCAGTAAGATGAAGAGACATCATTTTCAGTTTTTGTATAAAGAGGAAAAGGGGCATGGGGCGGGGCAGTGGGAGTGGGGGAAGTGAAGAATACCTTTATGAAGCATCAACTATGTACCAGGCACTCTGGTACTTAAAAACAGGTTGTGAGGCTGGGTGTGGTGGCTCATGTCTGTAATCCCAGCACTTTGGGAGGCTGAGGTGGGTGGATCACCTAAGGTCAGGAGTTCAAAACCAGCCTGGCCAACGTGGATAAAACCCCGTCTCTACTAAAAATACAAAACTCAGCTGGCCATGGTGGTGTGCACCTGTAATCCTAGCTAATCAGGAGGCTGAGACAGGAGAATCACTTGAACCCATGAGGCAGAGGTTGCAGTGAGCTGAGATCGTACCACTGCACTCCAGCCTGGGCAACAGAACAAGACTCTCTCTCCAAAAAACAAACAAACAAACATAGGTTGTGGTGACACAAGTATGTGTGACTCAGGTCTCACTTCTGCCTCTTTACTGACTATATGACCTTGGGCAAGTGACTCAATGACATAATCTCATTTACTAAATTTATCAAGCCTTTGTTTTCTCACCTTTAAAATAGAGATGAGACCACCTACCTTTCAGGGTTTTGGGGAGAAATAAATTATATATGTAAAAGCAGCCGGGCACGGTGGCTCACACCTGTAATCCCGGCACTTTGGGAGGCCGAGGTGGGCAGATCACCTGAGGTCGCGAGTTCGAGACCAGCCTGACCAACATGGAGAAACCCCATCTCTACTAAAAATACAAAAATTAGCCAGGCATGGTGGCAGATGCCTGTAATCCCAGCTACTTGGGAGGCTGAGGCAGGGGAATCTCTTGAACCCTGGCGGCAGAGGTGGCATTGAGCGAGATCATGCCATTGCACACCAGCCTGGGCAACAAGAGCGAAACTCCATCTCAAAAAAATAGATATATATAGAAAGAGAGAGAGAGAGAGCATTAACTATAGTATCTGGCACAGAGTGAGCACTCAAAAGCTAGCTATTATTACAATAAGCTTAGGCTTAGAGAACTTAGGTAACCCACCCAGTATCACAAGGCAGAGTTAAAATTAAAACTCAGATCTGACTCCAAAGCAATTAAGTACTTTTTCCCACCATCCTGAATGCTCCATAACTGACACAGACAAGTCCTGATCATCCCTTGTATCAGGAGAAAGTCCACAGCTCAAAGCCCTCATCAAAAATAGAAAAAATAATATTGTCAGAGTTATTTATGAGAACCATAAACAGAAAGTATGCCTGGATGAGCCATAGTAATATCTAAAAGTCACGGAAAAGGAGAATACAGAAACCAAAACGAATTTTAAAATAGCTCAAAGCATATACCCAATAGTTAATTCCCAGAAACCGACAAGGTTGAAACACCCAGCTCTTCCAGAATTTCTTAATAAGCCCCATACACAGCTGTCTGCCTGGTTTCTAACCCATGACTCATTGAAACATCATAGATAATACAAGATGACCTGATAAAAACGGAATTGATGCTTTGACTGGAAACTTCAGATGAGCAGTAAATTCCCAGCAAGCTCCAACCCTTCCCTACCACCCTCCCTACATCAAGCGCTTAGGAAGAAAGCAAGATCCCCGCTAGTCCCACCACAATGATCCAGATGTGGTTCCTATAGCCAACAGGCTCTAAAAGAATGTATCTTTACAAATTCACAACCAGATTTTTTGAAAAGAAAGATCAAATTCCTAAAAACAATGCTCCTCAATTGTCCTGCAACCTTTTATAAAGAAGAGGAAATAATCTTTAATGTACTATTTTCCCTATAGTGTATGCTAAAGTACTTAGCTGGAAGTCAAAAGGCCATCTCTGCCTGAAGACATGCTTTGTTTTGTTGGCACAGTAATGAAAATAATTTTAATTAGTTGCAAACAGCCAAAACCCATGAGATTTTGGACATAAATGTAAATCCTTTTAAGGAATTTAGAAATTCTGATGACCCCGGGACTCCATTTCCCTAGATATAACAATTGGTTAGAGCTTGGTAATGACACTTCCTCCAGCAGCGTATGAGCTCTTTAAGATGCCTAATGTTCCCTAACATCTAACACACAAACCACTTCTCACATTCGTATCATCTGACCCTTGTAGGCACATGATTCTTGACCTAGATTTGGAGGAACAAGATAACAAGAGATCCAGTCCCTAATTTCCAGTTTCCAGAACCTCTACAAATACTCACCAATTGCTAAAGCCAACTGATCCTTGAGTGAGCCATCTCTGTCAGGCCCAGCTGGAAGTCCAGAAAGCTCAGAGGAATTTAAGAAGCCCTAAGTACACAAAGAAAACAAACATGAACTGATTCTGTACTATTCAAATTATCAAAAGAATAGGCAAAAATAGTCTATTTCTAAGAAAATTATTGGCCAGGTATGGTGGCTCGCACCTGTAATCCCAACACTTTGGGAGGCCGAGGAGGGTGGATCACCTGAGTTCAGCAGTTTGAGACCAGCCTAGCAAAAATGGTGAAACCCCATCTCTACTAAAATACAAAACTTAGCTGGGCATGGTGGCACACGCCTATAATCCCAGATACTGGGGAGCCTGAGACACGAGAATCGCTTGAACCTGGGAGGCGGAGGTTGCAGTGAGCTGAGATTGTGCCAATGCACTCCAGCCTGGGAAACAGAGTTGAAACTCCATCTCAAAAAAAAAATAAAAATTATTTAAGACAACTAAGTGTAGATAATATTTTCATTAAGCCAAGGATGTTAAAAATTGGTAACAGTTCCATCTTTATAAATATTTTATTCTATCACTGCACCACCCCCAATAACATTCCACTCTCATCCTCCAGTCTAACTTCTTAGAATGTAATTTCCTAGAAATCAAGAACAATTATTTTCTTTTTATTTTAAATATAGAGATGGGGTCTCCCTGTGTTGCTCAGACTGGTCCCGAACTCCTAGCTTAAGAGATCCTCCTGCTTCAGCCTCCCAAAGTGCTGGGATTACAGGCGTAAGCCACTACACCCAGCCAAGAACAGTATTTTCTTTTTTTTGAGATGGAGTCTCGCTCTGCTGCCCAGGCTGGAGTGTAGTGGCATGATTTCAGCTTACTGCAACCTCCGCCTCCCAGATTCAAGCCATCCTCCTGCCTCAGCCTCCCGAGTAGATGGGACTACAGGCATGCGCCACTATGTCTGGCAAACTTTTATATATTTTTTAGTGGAGACAGGGTTTCACCATGTTGGCCAGGCTGGTCTTGAACTCCTGACCTCAAGTGATCCATCTGCTTCAGCCTTCCAAAGTGCTAGGATTACAGACGTGAGCCACCGCACCTGGCCAAGAACAATATTTTCATAAAATCATAAAATGTTAGAGCTAGACTTGCACATTGTTGATGGGAATGCAAAATGGTACAAATCCAATGATGTGAAATTGTAGTATCTAATAAAACTACATATGTATTTATCCTTTGACCCTGAAATCCTATTTCTAGGAATTCACCTTGATGATATACTTACAATAATACTGCACAAGTTTATTCATTGAACAATTATTTCTAATCATAAAATTGTAAAAACAGCCTAAATGCCCAAACATAGGAGATTAAACTATAGCACATCCATACAACAGAATACTATGTAGTTGGAAAAAATAAAAAGGATGACCTTCATGAATTGTTATGGAGTATTTCCAGGATATATTATTAAGTGAAAAAAGCAAATTATAAGTGTATATGCATATTATACTACTATCTGTGCAACAAAGAACTATTTGTATAAATATGCTTATTTTTGCAAAAAGAAATACTGAAAATGGATAACCACAATCCAATGACACTGGTTATCTAAGTAAACAGATGGATGGGAACGGGGTAGAAGGGACAGAAGCAGTAACACCTCTCCGAGTATAGCTTTTTTTTTTTTTTTTTTGACAGTTTCAACTTTGAGGACTTTGTTAATGTATTTTATATATTCAAAAATAAAACTAAATCTGGCCAGCCAGGCACGGTGGCCCACGCCTGTAATCTCAGCACTTTGGGAGGCTGAGGTGGGTGGATCACCTAAGGTTAGGAGTTCGAGACCAGCCTGGCCAACATGGTGAAACCCCATCTCTACTAAAAATACAAAAATTAGCCAGGTGTGGTGGGGGGTGCCTGTAATCTCAGCTACTCAGGAGGCTGAGGCAGGAGAATCACTTGAACCCAGGAGGTGGTGGTTGTGGTAAGCTGAGATCAAACCACTGTACTCCAGGCTGGCTAATGAGCGTGAAACTCCATCTTAAAAAAAAAAAAAACCTGGACCAGTACCGTGGCTCATGCCCATAATCCCAGCACTCTGGGGAGGCCAAGTCAGGCAGATCACTTGAAGCCAGGAGTTTGAGACCAACCTGGCCAACATGGTGAAACCTCATCGCTATAACTATAAAAAATATTTAAAAAATAAACAAACAAACCCCAAAGTGCTGGGACTACAGGCATGAGCCACGGCACCCAGCCAAAACAAACAAACAGACAAAAAAACCCCATACATTTAAAAAATAAAATTAAATCACATATTTGGGGTGAAAATAAATATTGACTACTAAGAAATATAAAACTATATTTCAAACGAGTAACATAACCTCACAGAAGGAAAAAAAAAATCCAAATAACAGAGTCACGTGACCACCTAACTTCAATGTAAAGACAAAACGAACTACAAATAAATCTTGAACTCCTTAGTAGTTTTGTTATTTGCAGTGGTCAGGGGTAGCAATTCTGAAACAATTTTGTATATATGTTGTAACACTGAGTACATAGGAGTACACAGGTAAAAACAGTAAACATATTGAAGTTGCTATGAAAAAGGAACCACATACACACAGCACATACACCTGCACTGTCTGCTGAAAGAACAAATGACATCTCAGTAGAAATCAGCACACTTGGCTGGGCGCAGTGGCTCATGCCTGTAATCCCAGCACTTTGGGAGGCTGAGGTGGGTGGATCACGAGGTCAGGAGTTCAAGACCAGCCTGGCCAACATGGTGAAACCCCATCTCTACTGAAAATACAAAAATTAGATGGGTATGGTGGCACGTGCCTGTAATCCCAGCTACTCGGGAGGCTGAGGCAGAATTGCTTGAACCGGGACCCGGGAGGCAGAGGTAGCAGTGAGCCAAGATCGCGCCACTGCACACCAGCCTGGGCTACAGAAAGACACTCTGTCTCCAAAAAAAACAAAGAAATCAGCACACCTAATACTCAAATCTTGGTTTCTAAAAACCATTCCCCAGCTAAAAAGGACCAGGACTCCTTGAAGAAGTGGCCCATTCCACACTTGAGGAAAGGAAAGTATGACATAAACCCAAAAGATAAGAATAAACAAAAAAAAGGGCTGGGCGCGGTGGCTCATGCCTGTAAACCTAGCACTTTGGGAGGCCCAGGTGGGTGGATCACCTGAGGTCAGGAGTTCAAGACCAGCCTGGCCAACATGGTGAAACCCCCATCTCTACTAAAAATACAAAAAAATTAGCCGGGTGTGGTGGCGGGCGCCTGTAATCCCAGCTACTTGGAAGGCTGAAGTGGAAGAATCCCTTGAACCGGGAGGGAGAGGCTGCAGTGAGTGAGATGGCACCACTGCACTCCAGCCTGGGTGACAGAGAGACTCCATCTCAAAGAAAAAAAAAAAAAAGCGATGATAACATGTACATAAAAAGTGACAGGGCCAGCTGTAGTGACTCAAGCCTGTAATCCCAACACTTTGGGAGGCCAAAGCAGGTGGATTTCTTGAGCCCAGAGGTTTGAGACCAGCCTGGGCAAGATGGCAAGACTGTCTCTACAAAAAACTTAAAAAAGAACCTAGCATGGTGATGTGCACACATAGTCCCAGCTACTCAGGAGTCTGAGGTGGGAAGACCACTTGAGCCCAGGAATTTGAGGCATCAGTGAACAATGATTGTGCCACTGCACTCCAGGCTGGGCAAGAAAGCCGGATCTGTCTCTATTTAAAAGAAAAAAAGAAGTGATAAAGCAAATACAGTAAAATGTTAACAAATGGTGAATCTGGATAAAGAGTATACTGAGGCCAGGCATGGTGGCTCACGCCCGTAATCACAGCACTTTGGGAGGCGGAGGCAGGCAGATCACTTGAAGTTAGGAGTTCAAGACCAGCCTGGCCAACATGGTGAAACTCTGTCTCTATAAAATATACAAATACTAGGCGTGTGTGGTGGCACGTGCCTGTAGTCCTAACTACTCAGGAGTCTGAGGCAGGAGAATTGCTTGAACCCAGGAGGTGGAGGTTGCAGTGAGCCAAGATTGAGCCACTGCACTGCAGCCTGAGCGACAGAGCAAGACTTCATCTCAAAAAACAAAAACGAAAACAAAAAAAAAAAAGAGTACACTGGTGTTTACTGGTAAAATCAGAGCTAAAATTTCTGGTTCAAGCGACTTATCTACTCAATACAATTAAAAAAATAATCTCAACATTGTTTTCCATATAATATGACTATGTAATGCCAGTAATAATTAACATTTACCAAGACATCTCAAGAGAAGGATAAAGAAGATAAAAAAGTTAGTAACAAATTCAAAAAAATTACTGTGAGTGGTTGGTTCATTTTTGCTTTGGCAATAAAGCTGAGTCAAAGGCAGAATGACATAATTCCTTTCCTTGATCCCTCTATGGATAAGAATATGCTTATTTTCCTACACTGTGTCTTTTCCAATCTCTCTCTCTTTTTTTTTTTTTCTGAGATGGAGTTTTGCTCTTGTTGCCCAGGATGAAGTACAACGGCTCACTGAAACCTCCACCGCCCGGGTTCAAGCGATTCTCCTGCTTCAACTGCCTGAGTAGCTGGGATTACAGGCATGCGCCACCACGCTCAGCTAATTTTGTATTTTTAGTAGAGACAGGTTTCTCCATGTTGGTCAGGCTGGTCTTGAACTCTCGACCTCAGGTGATCCACCTGCCTCAGCCTCCTAAAGTGCTGGGATTACAGGCCTGAGCCACCACATCCGGCTCCAATCTCTTTATTTAGAAATCCTTTCCTAAGATCATTCCAAATTTCTGAACACAAAGCCTAAAATGGCTTCACTTAATCTGACTAACTCCATTTCCCTGGCATGCATGCATTCATTCATTCATTCATCTGACAAAGATTTATTGAACTCCAACTAAGTAGTGGGCCCAATTCTCTTTCACCAGAGATACAACAGTAAAAGGACAAATTCCCTGCCTCATAAAGCTTACATTCTAGTGGGGAAGACAGACAACATACAGCTAAATTAAAATGTAATATATAAACACCATAATAAAAAATGTTAAATGAAGCACGACATGGGGATATAGTAATGGGGGAAGGGTAATCCTATGCAAAGAGACAGCATTTAAGCAGAGATGTGAAGTAAGGGAATGAGACATGAGAATGTCTAAAACAGGAACAGCAAACAAGGAGAGCAAATTCAGCACACTGAAGACAAACCCCAAACTTACTTTACTGTATGTAGAGAGTTGATCCTTTAGGCTCTGACAATACATCATGGTTCCAAGGGCTACTTGCTGGACCAACTGTTGAAATTTTAAATTTCTAGAAACAAAATCTGTTTCACAGTTTACCTGTGGGAACAAATTGATATAGCTGTATAAGCTGTTTAATAATTTCCAAAAGTGCCTTAAGGCTGGACAGTAAATCAAGATACTGACAGAACAAGCTACAGACTCAACAGAAAAAAAATGACTCCAAAATTTTAAAGCTACAGTTCCTCTCCTAGCCCGAAACAGAATGAAGTGATTCACGTTGGGCCAGTGAGTTAGCAATAGCCTGTATATTCAGAAGATGGTTCAATAATGTCCTGAAGGACTCACCACAAGTTTACCACTTACCTGTGTCTGCACACCATCATCACCTCATTCTCCAGCCATCCCAACTCCAAACCACTTATGCTATTATCTTGTTTATTCCCACCTCTCATTCTAAACTAATCCACACCTGATTCTTCACCAATTATGGCCCCCAAACCTCCTCTAAAATAGCTACACTCTATTCAACAACAATTAATATAATTAACTTTGTAATCTAACTGTTCCAGGAAACAATCAGTGACAAGGGGTAAGGCTGCACCAGACTCACATTCAGGAGTAATAGTCTAGACTGCTAGTAATGTACACACCAGTACATTTCTATACTTAAATGAATTCATAACTAATACCCAAGGTTTCATTAGTTTAACTTCAACTACCCTTTATGGTTCTTAAACAGATCTCTTTCTCAAGAAGATAAAGGGCCTACTACAAGCTTTATACCCAAGGGACAGCTATTCTTGGTATCTGGAATTTCCAACAACTCACCTCTACTAATACAGTTGTGTTTCCTTCCTGCAACAGCCCAATCAGGCCTTCTTTGGTCTTTCTCCCTTGGAGCTTGGCAGCTTTGCTCCAGCCCTCTTTCTGGGCCTGCTTGTGGAGCCAGATCTCTGCCTATAAATTGAGAAGAAAAAGAGCAGACAACAAAGTCACAGAATTTAGAACTAAATGTAATTCTAAGATACGCTCAGGTTTCCTGATTCTCTAAATTCTCTAACAGAAACTGAAGTAATCTATCATTTACTGGCAGTCTACCACTAAATGCCAAGCACCAGGTATTATTACAACCGGTGCCTTGGATGAATTTAATCTTCACAACAACCCTATGGGGCACACAGTTGTATTTTCTGTATACAGTTATGCAGCACATAACAATATTTCGAACAATGACGGACTCCACATACGATGATGGTCCCTAAGATTATAATGGAGCTGAAAAATTCCTATTGTCTAGTGACACTGTAGCCCTCCTAACATTGTAGGGCAACATATTACCTACATGTTTGTGGCAATGCTAGTGTAAAGAAAACTTCTGTGCTGCCAGTCCTATTAAAATATAGCACGTACAATTATACACAGTACATGATACCTGAAACAATGAACAACTATGTTACCAGTTTATGTATTTACTATAATATATATACTTTATTGTTTTTTTAGAGTGTACTCCAACTGATAAACTACTCGGGAGGTTGAACCTCTTGAACCCAGGAGGCGGACGTTGCAGTGAACCAAGATCAATCACGCCACTGCACTCCAACCTGGGTGACAAAGTGAGACTCTGTCTCAAAAAAATAAAAATTGAAAAAATTTAACAGTAAAACAGCTTCAGGCAGGTCCTTTAAGAGGTATTTCAGAAAAAAACATTGTTATCATAGGAGACAACAGGTCCATGCCCGTTACGGACCCTGAAGACCTTCCAGCAAGACAAGATGTGGAAGTGGAACACAGTGTTGATGATGATCCCACTCCTGTGTAGGCCTAGGCTAATGTATGTGTTTGTGTCTCAGTTTTTAACAAAACAATTTTTTTTTTTTTTTTGAGACAGAGTCTCACTCTGTCGCCCAGGCTGGAGTGCAGTGGCCAGATCTCAGCTCACTGCAAGCTCCGCCTCCCCGGTTCACGCCACTCTCCTGCCTCAGCTTCCCAAGTAGCTGGGACTACAGGCGCCCGTAACAAAACAATTTTTTAAGGTAAAAAAAATTTTGGCCAGGCACGGTGGTTCATGCCTGTAATCCCAGAACCTTGGGAGGCCAAGGTGGGCAGATCACGAGGTCAGGAGATAGAGACCATCCTGGCTAACGTGGTGAAACCCCGTCTCTACTAAAAATACAAAATAATAGCCAGGCATGGTGGCAGGCCATCTGTAGTCCCAGCTACTCGGGAGGCTGAGGCAGGAGAATGATGTGAACCTGGGAGACAGATCTTGCAGTAAGCCCAGATTGTGCCACTGCACTCCAGCCTGGGGGAGAGAGTAAGACTCGTCTCAAAAAACAAACAAACAAACAAAAAAAAAACATTTTTCAATTAAAAAAAAGTTTAAATTTTTTTTTTTGAGACAGAGTTTCACTCTTGTTGCCCAGGCTAGAGTGCAATGGCACGATCTCGGCTCACCACAACCTCCACTTCCCAGGTTCAAGTAATTCTCCTGCCTCAGCCTCCCGAGTAGCTGGGATTACAGGCCCTCGCCACCACACCCGGCTAATTTTATACTTTTTTAGTAGAGACGGGGTTTCTCCATGTTGATCAGGCTAGTCTCGAACTCCCAATCTCAGGTGATCTGCTCGCCTTGGCCTCTCAAAGTGCTGAGATTACAGGCATGAGCCACCACGCCCAGTCAAAAAAAGTTCAAAATTTTAAAAACAGAAAAAAGCTCACAGAATAAGCACATAAAGAAAAATATTTTGGCACAGCTGTACAATATGTGTTTTACACTGTTATTACAAAAGAGTCCAAAAGTTTAAAACATGTTAAAAGTTTATAAACTAAAAATGTTACCTTAAACTAAGGTTAACTTATTATCGAAGAAAAAATTTCTTACAAATTTAATGTAGCATACGTGTACTGTTTTGATGTCCACTGTAGTGTACCATAGTGTCCTAAGGCAGGCCTTCTTATTCACTAACCACTCACTGACTCACCCAGAGCAACTTCTAGTCCTGTAAGCTCCATACATAAGTTCCCTATAGAGATGTATCTTTTTTATGTTTTATGCCTATTTACTGTACTTTTTCCATGTTTAGATACACAATACTTACCACTGTGTTACGACTGCCTACAGTATTCAGTCCAGTAACATTCTGTAAAGGTTTGCAGCCTAGGAGCAGCTGGCTATTCCATATAACCCAGGCTGTAGTACAATACACTATCTAGGTTTGTGTAAATACTCTATGACGTGCATAAGCCAAAATCTCCTAACGACCCCATTTCTCAGAATGTATCTTCCTGGTTAAGAGATGCATGACTGCACAGACAAAAATTACACAACTCTGAAAAATTAAGATGTCTAAAGTCAGCCAGGCGCGGTGGCTCACTCCTGTAATCCCATCACTCCGGGAGGCCGAGGCGGGCAGATCACCTGCGGCCAGCAGTTCGAGACCAACCCGACCAACACGGCGAAACCCCATCTCTACTAAAAATAAAAAAAAAAAAAAAAAATTGCCGGGTGTGGTGGCGCACGCCTGTAATCCCAACTACTAGGGAGGCTGGGGCAGGAGAATCGCTTGAACCCAGGAGGCGGAGGTTATAGTGAGCCGAAATCGCGCCATTGCACTCCAGCCTGGGCCACAAAGGCAAGACTCCGTCTCAAAAAATATATATATATATGTATCTATATATCTATATATATATATATGCCTAAAGTCAGACTGGTGGGGCACCACAATGTGACTCCTGATCGATCTAACTGTAAAGCTCACACAAACCCTTTCAGCTCCAGGCAACAAGAAACACCATAAGAGTCTGGTTTGTTAATCCTGGGATACTCAATTGCTTCCAAATAAGACAAAGTGAAGGCCAAGGTTGTCATTTAAGCCAGATTTCCACTTAGGGCTGTGCCATTATGGTCACTGGAGAGCAGGTCTAACTTCACGCTCCCCAGCGTGACCGCTCCAAGAGTCTGAGGTCGAGCTCTAGTACTCCGCCCTGCACCCCTCCACACACAAACCTGTTTGAGGTCTCCACCACAACTCTCCAGAGCTTTCTTGCAATTTACAAAGGAGTAGCCTGTATTCCGCCGCAGTTTCATGAGGAGCTCCTTGCTGGAGGCCGAGGCAGACAGACGGGGCCCAGCATGAAGTGTGTGCCGTGGCTGGGGCGACTGACGCAGAAGAGACCCAGCCTGGATGGGGTAAGAAAGGGATGAGAGGCAGGAAGCAGCAAACTCCAGAGGGTGGAGGGTACACTGGCAGGGAGTGGACGGTGTGCAAACGGGGGTGCACCGAGACTGGACTGGGCAGAGGAAATGCTGTCCGGGAAGGTGGGATGGAGTCAAACGGGGTTGGGAGGAAGGGAAAGGTACAGGCGCACAGAAGAGCTGCAGGGAAAGCAGGTCGGTACCAGGACCAGGACTTCTCACCGAGTGGCTCCCGGTCCGCGCGACCAGGAACACACGCAGTGACCGTAGCAGCGACATCTCCCTAGCCGCAGTAAACTCCCTCCCGCGGTCGCAAAGGTGAGGCGACAATCCTACGGCGCGGCGGAAGGGCCACAATTCTCCAGCGGAACGCACCAAACGAGGATGGTGCCACCTGCTGGCCGGAGGAACACAGTCCTCTCCTCTACTTGATATCTTGAGACTACACATTTGTTTTTGGTTCTTTTTTTTTTTTGAGTCTCGCTCTGTCGCCCAGGCTGGAATGCTAGTGGCCCGATCTTGGCTCACTGCAAGCTCCGCCTCCCGGGTTCACGCCATTCTCCTGCCTCAGCCTCCCGAGTAGCTGGCACTACAGGCGCCCGCCACCACACCCAGCTAACTTTCTGTATTTTTAGTAGAGACGGGGTTTCACCCTGTTAGCCAGGATGGTCTTGATCTCCTGACCTCGTGATCCGCCCACCTCGGCCTCCCAAATCCCAGCTCACTCTGGGATTACAGGCGTGAGCCACCGCGCGCAGCCTGAGACTACACATTTCATATGGGAATTACCCCCCACCTCCCACCCCAGGTAAAATAACAGAAACCAAGAAATAAAGTTGTCACAAAACAACAACACAAGAAATGTGGGTAACATTTTATGTTTATTTTCAATGCGCGTTTATATTCATTATCCATTTATGACTCACAACAAACTTGTGTAGTTGGTGAATGGGTTCTGAAATTTGTCCAAGGTCACCTAGAAAGGCAGGGGTGGAATCCATTGAACAAAGCGAGTAAATATTTATTGAATGAGCACAATATCTGTGTGTGCCAGGAACTGTGTTAGGCTTCTGGGGACTAGACATGGGTAAATCACAGCCCTATCCTCCAAGGTAATTTAATGGTGAGAAAATGAAAATCAAAAATGTCAATGCAAGACAAATTAAGGTCCCATAAGACGAACAAACAGTTAAAGGGTCTCAGGGAGAAAGAAATCACATTCAAGCAAGGGGCTCAGGAAAGAGGCAAAGAATAATGAAGATTTTGACAGGTGGCAATAGCCTTTCAGGCAGAGGATTATCATAAAGAGTGAGAAAGAAGTCAGGAAACTTTAGTGTGGTTTTAGAGAACAAAGAGTACTTTTTTTGTAATTTGGCCAGAGGTCCAATACATGTAGCAAAGGAGTAGGCAATGCAGTAGGAGGGTAATTTGGGATAACATGGACGCAGACTAAGTACCAAGCAGAGGAGCTTGTTCTTGCTTCTATAGGCAGTGAAAGCTAATCAAGCTAATTTTGGAAGATCCCAAGAGTTTGCAGAATGGACTGAAGGAGAAAGCATGGAGGCAGGGAGTCCAAAGAAGGTGACTATGTGCCTAAGCAGTAAGTAAAGAGAGCCCCAACCAGAAGTACCAATGTGGGAAGAGAAAAGAGGTGAAGGAAAAACACATTAGGAACTGTGTTAGGCTTCAGGGGATTACAGATTAGGAAGGAAGGACTGATGAAGCTAAAGAAAAATCAAAGATGAAAACTTAGTACTGAGTCCAGTGTTCTGCACAGCATGATGTTCTGTGATCAAGGCTCTAACTCTGGAAAGCACGAAGAAACTACAGTCCAAAGGACAGCTCTGCAGCCTCAGCTTCGGAGCTGGGAGGACTTGACTCAGTTAGAGCCATGGTTCCACCAGATTCTATCTCTAAAAAGCAGGAAACAGGTGGTTTGAGGCTTCTTCCTTCTCAGCTCCTGAGCAAAAGCTGAGTTCTTGCACAACAGATTTTTAAGGCTTAATTCTTTCTTAAAAAATAAAAAACAAAAACAAAAAAAAATCCTGGGCTAGCGCAGTGGCCCATACCTGTAATCCCCAGCACTTTGGGAGGCAAGGCAGGTGGATCACTTGAGCCCAGGAGTTTGACACCACCCTGGGCAACATGGCGAAACCCTTCTCTACTGAAAATACAAAAATTAGCTGGTATGATGGCTCATGCTTCTAGTCCCAGCTACTTGGGGAGCTGATGCAGGAAGATCATCTGGGCCTTGAGAGGTTGAGGCTGTAATGAGCTGTGATCATGCATCTGCACTCCAGCCTGGGTGACAGAGTGAGACCCTGTCTCAAACAAAAGAAAAAAAATCCCATAGAATTTTTTTTTAAGTCCATTCTGTATAAACAGCAACAGGAATGGAAGTGATCAGTGACAGTCTCTCTACAACCACTGCTCTCATATCCCATATACCTGCCTTAGCCCCTAAAAATCCTAGATACCTTACCATCCTCCTCCTCTGAGAACAGGAGCCAGGAACCTCCTTGGTGTTCTAACACTAGTGCTGCCAGAGCTCTGGGATTCCTGGTAAGCAGGCCCCACACTGCACCTGCCCAAGAGTATCTGGGGTAACAAAGAGGGAAGGAAGAAAGTGAGAGAGGCCAGGGAAATCCATCCTTTTTGGTCTTCATGTTTGTGGCTCTGGAAACATGATTTTTGAGATACCCAGTTCCTTCATTAGGGCAAGAGACTGAGAAGAACAGCAGGGGTGATGTCAAGCAGGTCTTGGTTCCCTGTGCCTGGCCCTATAGATGTTGACATTTTCATCCTCATCCCGCTGAGCCAGCTCCAGTTGGAAATGCTGGGGCAGGAGGTGCTGAAAGAAGCTCTCTGTCCCGTGCTCCTCTCTCATCTTGGAGGCCAGATAGATGGTGCCATGGGGCCTGCACAGGTGTTGGAGGGTCCCCAGCAGCAGAGGGAAGGTGGGTTCCAGGTACACGATATCAGCCCCCAGCACCAGGTCATAGTCTCCAGGGAAGACATGATGGTCAATCCCCCAGGACAAGGCACGCACCTGGGCCTGGCCTCCAGCTGGCACATTGGCCTGGACGTTGCCCTGGATCTGTTCTAGGGCCAGGGGTAGGTCAGTGATGGTAACATCCCCCCCTGAGAGAGAGGAAGGAGGAAAAATGCAAGTCAGAGGGACCAACCAAGGGTTCTTGGCTCCTGCCTGGAAGGTCCAGAGACCTCAGAGCATAGAGGACAATGTCTTGACAGCCCGGAGCCCACTCTGGCTTTTAGTTGCTTCAACCTCCATTTCACCCACTGCTATTCTCATTACCCTACATTCTACAACATCAACATTCTCTCTGAGCTAATCTTCAACCTCTCTGGCCAACACACAACAATCAGATGTCAGCAGAAGCCTGGGCAGGACTAAGCTGGAGATGGGTTATGCACCCACCCCCACTGACACAAGCTTGCCTTAAGGGTCTGGAAAACTTCCCAGAAAATGTGACCTCAGCTGAGTCCTAAAGGACAAGTGGGAGTTAGTCAGGTGGAGCTTTCCAAGAAGAGAACAGTGAGTACAAAGGCCTGGGAGTGAGAGAGCATGGCATATTCAAGAAAGGCTGGATCTTAGAGGATATGGAAGGGGGAGAAAAGTGTCAAGACATGAGATAAGGGGAAAGTGATTATGATATGCTAAGGAGATTCAGGTTTGGTACTGAGGGCAATAGGCTTTAAGGGCAGAAACAGGGGTGAAGATGGTCAGATTAGCATCTCAGAAACCTTCATTCATGCAGTACATATAATTTGGAGCACCTACTAAGTGCTGGGTGTATAAGGTGAGCAAGACAATAACACAGCTTTCTTTGTTTCATTCTAGAGGTAGAGACACACTAGGTACTGCATCATAATCATGATGACTATGATAGAAAGAGAAGCAAGCAGTACTAGGAATCCATCCATTCATTCATTCATTTATTCATATTTATTATGTGCCTATATGCCAAGTGCTGAGAACATAATGATGAACCAAGAAGGTAAGAATACCCCCTCACAGAGCTTATGGTCCAGTGGCAAGAAACAGATAACAACAACCAAAATAAATAAAATAAAATACACTGTACATCAGATGATCATATATGCCATGGTGAAGCCCCAAGCAGGGAAAGGGGATAAGAATTCCTTGAGGGATGGGGAGAAATGCAAGTTAGAGTGGACCAACCAAGCGTTCTCAGCTCCTACCTGGAAGGTCCAGAGACCTCAGGGCATAGAGGACAAAGTCTTAGCAACCTGAATGTAATTTTAAATTGAGTGGTCAGACCAGCCTGACCAAAATGGTGAAACCTCGTCTCTACTGAAAATACAAAAAATTAGCCAGGTGTGGTGGCAGGCGCCTGTAATCCCAGCTACTTGGGAGGCTGGGGCAGGAGAATCGCTTGAAGCCGGGAGGCAGAGGTTGCAGTGAGCAGGGATCACGCCATTGCACTCCAGCCTGGGCGATAACAGCAAGACTCTGTCTCAAAAAAAAAAAAAAAAAAAGGGATATCCTGGCCGGGCGGTGGCTCATGCCTGTAATCCCAACATTTTGGGAGGCCAAGGCAGGCAGATCACGAAGTCAGGAGATCGAGTTCGCCATCCTGGCCAACATGGTGAAACTCTGTCTACTAAAAATACAAAAGTTAGCTGGGCATGGTGGCATGTGCCTGTAATCCCAGCTACTCGGGAGGCTGAGGCAGGAGAATCGTTTGAACCAGGGAGTTGGAGGTTGCAGTGAGCAGAGATTGCAGCTCACTGTCAGCCTGGCGACAGAGAATTGTCAGCCTGGCGACAGAGAAAGATTCCATAAAAAAAAAAAACCCTTCCGTTTCAACCAAAATTCTTACCTTTTGAATGCTACTCTATTCTGCTATGTGTGTGTGTGTGTGTGTCTATATACGCATGCACGGGAATGCTTGTGTGATAAAACAGGGTATGGGCCAGACTTGGGGGCTCATGCCT